TGGGGTTAGGGATAGTAGAGGGGGTTGGGGTTGAGGTCTGGTGTGTGGTGGTTTGAATTAGAATGGCTCCCGTAGGCTCATATATTTGAATGTTTGGTTCCTAGTTTGTGGAACTGTTTAGGAAGGATTAGGAGGTGTGGCCTTGTAGAGGGCATATTATCGGGTGTGGGCTTCATGGTTTCAAATCTCACACCAGGCACAGTCTCTTTCTCTCTATACCTTCTGCTTGTGGGTGACATATATAAGCCCTCAGCTATTGTGCATGACCCATGCTGGCCTGCCTCCTTCCATTCTCCCCGCCATGGATTCACCTTCTGAAATGTAAGCTTGCTTACATTTTTATATAAGCTGCCTTGGTCATGGTGTCTATTCATAGCAATAGAACAGTCACTAAGCCAGAAGTTGGTACCTGGGAGTGATGTGTTACTGGGGCAGGCCTGCTCATGCTGCCAGCTAGTGGAATGTGGACTTCAGGACTTTGCATTAGGGCAGAGGATGAGTGGAGTAAGCAGGGCTTCATGGACCATCCTAGAAGAAGCATGGAAGACATCAGCGCTGAGTGCGATGTGGGTGATGGTGAGGCCCAGCTCAGGAGGTTTCAGGGGTGAGTAGTATTAGCCAATGGGCTAGAGGCCATTTCTTGTGATATTTTGGCAAAGAATGTTGCCGCTTTTTGCCCTTGTCCTAAGAATCCTCCAGAGGCTAAATTAAAGAGTTTTGGAGTAGAGTCAATGGACACAGGAGACTTCAAGACAACTTAGTATTGACTGTGTGGTCACTCTTATACAGACCTATAATGAAAGAAAGAAAGAATGTGGCGTGAAAAGAAATAGGAAGTGTACATTTGAGGAGAAAAAGAGCACCAGGAGAAGGAAGGTTGGTTTCTGTCAGCTTCAGCCCCCTGGTCCTGGTGTTGTGAGGATGAAGACAGGTGTGAAGGGGTCGTGAATCTCTTGGCAGTTCAGGAAAGGTCCTGAGGCCAGGCAGTGTGGCGGGGGCGTGCTTGTGCCGTGGCCACTGGCTGCAGCTGTGAAAGCAATGCCTGGATTGCATTGGAGACCTCAGGATGTTAGAGAGTCCAGCAGGTCCACATGTCTGCTGAGGAGAGCTGCAAACAGGGCAGGGACCCAGACCGAGAGAAGTGGGCTGCAGCCAACAAAGCCCTCTAAGCCAGCAATTCTCAACCTGTGAGGTGAGACCCCTTTGGCGGGGGTGGGAGTGTGTGGGAGTGTGGGGAGGGTGGGGGGACAAGCGTTGGGGGGGGTCGAATGAGCCCTTTCCAGGGGTCGCCTAAGACCACGGGAAAACACAGATATTTACATTATGATTCATAACAGTAGCAACATTGCACTTCTTGGGTAGCAACAATCTTATGGTTGGGGTCACCACAACATGAAGAAAAGTATTAAAGGGTCACAGCGTTAGGAAGGTTGAGAAGCACTGATCTAAGTCCTTTGACAGCAAACACTGACTTACAGAATTTGGAGTTTGTTCTCCTGGGTTTGGGTCACTTTGTTATTTTTTCGACATGGCCCCTTCCCTCCCTTTTGGAATGGTAATGTATATTCTGTGTCACTGTATGCTGGAGTATGCAATTTGCTTTTGACATTACAGGGGTTACAATTAAGAGCTTAGCCTAAGACTCAGGAAAGACTTTGGGCTTTTAGACAGTACTGAGACTGTGAAAGACTGTGGAGAGGGGGGAGTTACATGAAATGTACTTGCGTTATGGTATGGATCCCAAGTCTACTGGGACAAAGAGTGCAGTGTGGTGCTTTGAATGAGAATGGCTGGAATAGGCTCATAGGGTGACTGCTTGGTCCCTAGTTAGTGAGACAGTTCTGGAGCATTTAGGAGGTTGGCCTTGTTAGGCTCTCGGGTTCAAAAGCCCACAACAGGAACAGTCTCTCTCTCTGCCTACTGCTTGTGGATAAGATATAAGTTCTTGGCTACTGCTTCAGCACCAGCCTGCTGGTTGCCTGCTGCTGCTCCCCGCCCCCGCCATGGTGGTCATGGACTCACCCTCTAAAACTGTAAGCAAGCCCCCAGTTAAATGCTTTCTTTTATAAATTGCCTCGTTCTCAGTATCTCCTCACAGCAACAGAAAAGTAACTACAGCAAGTATATATGTCTTTAGTCACATAGGTAAGATTCTTGGTGGCAAAAAAAAAAAAAAAAAAGTGTCAACTCTGGCTGAACACAGCAGAAAAATAATCTCAAGAGAGGAGTAACAGAACCGATAGGAAGTGTAGAAAATATACTTGCAAAGAGGGTGATGGTAATGAGACACTGAGGCCACGTCACAGGACATAAACTCAGATGACCACAATGCTGGGCATTCAAAGCAATATTTGACGTTCATAAGAAGGAAGAAGGAAGTGCTGTGTGTGTGTTGTGTAGGCCTGAGATTGATGTTGGCTATATTTTTTATATGGCTCTCCACCTTTTTTTTTGAGATAGGGGCTCTCAGTGAACCCAGGATATACTGATTGGTTAGACTGGCTCCGGGGATCCGCCTGTCCCCTTCCCCAGCCCTCTTGTCCTACGGTTATAGACACACACCACTGTGCCCAGCTTTTTATGTGGGGCCTCATGGTTGCCCCGAAATCACTTTACCAGTGAAGTCAACTCCCTCTCCTAAAGGTCGTGCCATTCATACTTCTAGAAACTGCAGATGAAAGCGCCTTATTCTCATCTTCTTAGGTTTAATCCATGTATTTAGACCTTTGCCAATTTGAGAAATAAAAAGTGTTGTCACTGTTTTAATAACATTTTTTAGGCTTTTAGCAAACAACTGTTTATTATTATTATTGTTGTTATTATTATTGCCATTATCTATTTCAGGAGTTCAGCTTTTTACAGAGAGCCAGAAAATAAGCCATGTGGTTTATTTTGGACTCTCTGAACCACCTGGGCCCTGTTGCAGCCTGTCACCTCTGCTAGTGTAGCATGAATGTAGCCATAGACAACACCTGGACAAAGGACATGGCTGAGCCCCAGGAGAACTTGATTCACAAAACACACAGTGGGACAAATCTGGCCTGCAGATTCCTGGCCAATTAATTTGTCCTTGCTGCTGCTGTAACATGTAAGAGCTCTGGATGTGATGGGAAAAATCAGATGACTGTGACCAGACTCTCAACAGCTACAGCCCAATGTTTTCATAGGTGACACAGTTACATTTGGCCTGGTTACATGGCGAACCCATGTCCCAGTGTAATGAAGAGTACAGTTACATACGTGCATCATTGTGTTCAAATTCAAGTTTCATAATATGACAGTTATGATGAGCTCCATGGTCCCTTTGCTTTCAACAACTTTTGTTTATTTTCAAGACACAGTTTCTCTGCTTAACAGCCCTGGCTGTCCTGGAACTCACTCTGTAGACCAGGCTGGCCTCAAACTCAGAGATCCACCTGCCTCTGTCTCCCAGGTACTGGGATTACAGACATGCATCACTATGCCTGGATAGCTTTCAACTTCTGATTAATTCCATGGAAGCTCTAAGTAAGCTCCATTACCTGGTGTTTGAGGCCTCTGACCTCTAAACCCAGGTTTTTCTTCCCTTGTTTTTCCTTCTTGTCCTTCCAGTCCTGAAGCTTCAGCAAACTACTTGCTATTCACCAGTAAGCCGTCCACTCTCCTTTCTCCCTTTTCCTCCCCTCTTCTAGCTGTTTGCCCTAGATCTGAACCTCACCCTTAGCCACTGATTCCTACCCAGTTTTAAGGACTATTTAAATTCAAAGGGGTCCCCCTTTCCTTGGCTTCTTTCTCCCCTAGCCTTAGGAGAACTCTCCTCAAGAAGTTAAAAAATGGACACTCCTCTTGCTGAGGCCCTGAACTCGCTTCCCAGGACACAAATCAGGCCCCTTAAAATCACCTGTCACTCCACCACATCTGGTGCCCTCCTCTGGCCTCCATGGGCCCCTGCACTTACAAGCCCATTCCTCCACCCCATAAACATAATTAAAAATAAAAGGAGCTGGCGTGTTGGCTCAGCAGTTAAGAACACTGGCTTCTTTCCCAGAGGACCCACGTTTGATTCCTAGCCCTCACATGGGGCCCACACTCTAGTCCTAAAGGAACCGACGCTCTTTTCTGGTTTTCTTGGGCATTACTCACACCTGGTTCACAGAAATGCGCTTCAAGCAAAACACCCATACACATTAAAAAAAAAAAAAACTTGAAAAATAATCTTATAAGCAGCCTTTCTCCCAATCTTTGGTAAAGCTTTTCTGGTTCTCTATTCTGAGAGTTAGCATATCAGCAAGAATTCAATTACGGATCCCGCGTGTCTTTGCCCTGACTGGCTCATCAGAATGTTTTTGCAGTTCACCGCGGGTCACTTCTTATGAATAATTTTCATCCACCTCTAAAGACGGTGCTGGCTCAGAAACAGAGAGCCCGGAGCCGTTACAGTAGTACGACGAAGACTCAAAGGCTAAGGCCTGCAGGGTTCAGAGCTTTGCTCAGCAATTGGTCCGCACACATCCCGTTAACCGTAAGGCTTTCGGGCATCACAACACGCTCTTTTAAAGTTTAATTCTTTGCCTTTCCTCAACTCCCCGAACAAGATCCCTCCAGCCCCCAGCACAGCATTCTTCTCAAGTGTTTACAGCAACGAGTAATGTGTGAGCACAGCAGCCAGGCTCCTCCCGTCCTGGTTTTAAACCTTTGAGAATTCTTACTTTGGGACAGAGGGAACGCACACGTACACACACACACACACACACTCAGAGAGACAGAGACAGAGAGAGCGAAAGGCAGAGACACACACACAGAGACAGAGAGACAACGCGAGAGACACGCATTTGGTGCCTGGACGCGGCGCTTCATCCTAGCTGTTACACATGCCAATTTCTGAGGCTTGGGAATGAGGCCAAGGTCCTCCTCCACCCCGGGGGCGGGGTGTGCCTGGCTAGGTTCTTGCCACTGCCTCTCTGGTGCCCCCCGGTTGGCGTCTCTCTGTCCCTGAGGGCCACGGTTGCTCCAGTCCTCACCATTGAAGCCGATCACAGCCTCAAGCTCAAGTTTGGCCACGTTGGTCTCCGGTAAAATCTGCTCTTCCATCGTGAAGAGTTTCAGCTCATTGATTCCTCAGCTCCAGGGTGCAGCGTCTCCTGGTCGTTATGGTAACGGGCGCACGCATGCGTGCTAGGTTTACGCTGGAGCGGAAACCCAGCGGGCTGAGTTGAGTTGGTTTACCCTCGTGCAAACGTGGGGGGGGGGGGCTTCCTTATTATTCATTTCTTTTCATTCTAGAAGTTCAGAGGCGCAGAATGAATCTCCTCGTCTTCCGTGTACAGCCTGTGACTTTTTTTTAAACTAGGAAATTAAGTGCCTCATGATGATTATTAAAAATAATTAAACAGACTAATTGATCACAGAGAATTGCCTCCGATGGATAGACTGCTAGAAAAAACTATGGAACTGATGACACCTTGTAAATTAATTTTTAAATCGCTTAAATATTCTAGTGCAGTATGCAACTGTGTATGTGTGTGTGTGTATGTATGTATGTATGTGTATTGCTTGTATGTATATTTCCCGCCTCCAACCTTCCAAGTGCTGGGATTCCAGGCGTGAGCTATCACACCCGGCTTGTTTTGTTATTTTTTTAATTAGGAAAAAAAAAAATGCAGAGAGCCGGGATGTTTCCCTGTGCCCAGCAGTTCCTGTGAATTAACAGTTCAGCGAATTGTCGCAATTCTCTGTCCCCGGGGTTGCGCTTGGGTCCCCGAGGGCCGAGCTTCTCTTTGCAAACTGAGCTCGGGTCGCGCACCCTCCGAACCACGGGGAATGAGCCGCGCGGGCCGCCGTAGTCAGCTGCTCGGAGCAGGAAGTGTCCCAGCTGCAGGCGGAGACTGCACCATGGCCCCGGACCCCTGGTGAGTTGCCGGTGATGGCAGCAGTGCGCGGTGGGACTCGGGGGTGGAACTGGCTTCCGGGGGCTCGCAGAGACCCTGGCCATCGTTGATCTTGAGGCTGGCGGCCCTTTCGGAGGAGCAGATCCGGTGCCGGTCCTCCCCCTGCTGAGGGGACTGAGCCACATCCCCGCCTCCCCGGGGCTAACTCGGTGGTCGGAGGGTAGACTGTTGCCTGGGGGAGCTGGGACCCGAGCAGAATCGAGTTTTTTCCTCGCCGTCTGGGGAGCTTCTTGCCTATCCTGCTTTTGGCTGACTGCGTGCGTTGACTTCCCTGGGCTCCTGTAGAAGTGAGGTCGAGATAACCTTTTGGTGGGATTTTCCTTCACCCATTAACCCCAGAAAGGGTATAAACTGGAGTTCAGGCTCCACGGTCACCAGCTAGTTGGTAGTCAGCTGGGAGGAGGTGTTATGGGTTCTTCATAAAACCTTGTAGGACTCTGGGAGGGAAATTTGCACTTGAGATAAGGCATTTACCCTTTCCTGCATTAGTAGCAAGAAGTCGTGCAGAAATCACCTGATAAAAACCATTTACTCAGCACAGAAGCTCCAAGGACAGCGTGATGGAAATTATCTTTGCACAAGAAACAATTTGCTATGAGGCCCCGACCTTCATGCTTAATGATTTACAACACTGTATTTCTGTAACGTTCTTGTTTGAGAACATGCCTTATGTTGGTATTTCTGGTAGTTTCTCGTACAGTCTGTTTAATGGCAGACAATTTTGAATATTAGTAGAGTGAATCCCAAGATCGGAATTATAGTTACCTGGGATCTAGGCTATTTGGGCCAGTTGCCTAACTGTTTATATATTTGTTTATTTTTCAGTGTCTCAGGGAGGCCAGGCTGACCTTGAATTCCTGATCCTCTTGCTTCAGTCTCCTAAATGGTGGGATTACAGGCCTCTGCCATCATGTCCTGTCGATGCTGAATTTAATACTTCTTTTTCTTCCCACCAACTTTTAACAATTGTATACACTCCTGGTAGAAAATTTAGGGACTCCTCTGAAGGAAAGAAAATAAATAGTATCTTTATCATTTGGAAACAACCAATGTCAGCTTTGTTTTTCAATGCATTTATTGTTTGAATCCATATCCTGCTTATATTTTTACAAAAACAGGAAGCATTTCTCCATGTCATTAAATATTCTTAAAAACATGATTTTCATATGCCTATCAGTACATCATCTGAGCGTTCATAACTTATTTCGGGTTTTAGCTTAGTGTTAGAGTGATTGCTTATCTTATGCCAGGCATTGGGTTGGTTGGGTTTGGTTGGGTTTGGTCCCCAGCAAGACAAGAAGACTTTCAGTTTTCAAATGCAAAAGGCACTGAATCAGACAGTGAAAACAGTGAAAGAGTTCAATGCTTGAGGATCTTTGGGTAAGTGTCTCCTGGAAGTCTGAGCTCATTAGACTACTGTGCCAGGCTATGCAGAAACTAGCTTCTGCAGATCTGTCCTGTTTCAGTTGTACTCTCCAACCAGGGCCACCACTTGGCAAGACATGATGGGCCTTCTTTCTTCATTTTGACTTTGCTCATGCCCTATGCCTTCCGTGGTGTTTGTTTTACTTCTCCTTCCCGTATGGAAATCTGCTTCTGTCTGGAAGTCAGCCCAAGATGCCCTCTTGTTGCCTAGCCCATCTGAGTGTCTCTATCATTGGTAATCTCTCCCACCCTCTAACTCTAGAGGTACTTAATTTAGGTCCCATATTTTGTTACTGATTTTATTTTGTTACTGATTTTGCATGTTTGGTCTGCTATCACAGAGCCAGACTGAAGCCCCTGTCTTTACAAATGACTGTGTGGAGACAAACAAGTAAAGTGTAGGGAAGCTGGGGCTAGGACCATTGTTCTTATCCCACTGTGTGTGTGTGTATGTGTGTTTCTATGTGCGTGTAATATATATACATATGTGTATGTATGTATATGTTATATGTAGAGACTACTGATCTATATGTATATGTATACAAATATTAAAATATATTTTTAGCCACTTGCTGTTTTGCATGCACATACCTATACCTGAACATACTGAATGATTCATGTTGATTCGTATGTGAATCTAGGGTTGGGGTGACACTGCTCCAGAGTGCTTGGGAAGGTCACAACATGCAGTTCTCTGTGTTGGACCCGGAGCCACATCTCTAGCCCAAGCTACACTCTCTCTCTCTCTCTCTCTCTCTCTTTTTTTTTTTTCCGTGATGCTGGTGATTGAGCCTAGTGCCTTGCACAAGCTGGACAAGGCACAGGCTGGACAAGTACTTCCCTGCTGAGCTGAGCCTTTAACCACCCCCCTCTTTTTTTATTTTACTTTTTTAGTTTGGGACAGTTTATTAAGTTGCCCAAGTTGCCCCAAGCAGCTTGACCCTGTCTCATTCTCAAATAGCCAGGCTGTAGGCGTGCGTAGTCCTGGAATATTTTAAAGAAATCATATCTCTTTTTGTGTATAAAACTGGGACATTAGGTCAGGGTGGGGAGTCAGCCAGGCCCCCACGGCAGCCAGAGCTTGTAGCTGCAGACTCACAGCTGCCTGCCGCGTGAATTTGTGTGTTAGTTCTCACCTTCCTGTGCCCCTGCTCGGAAAGAGCACCTCCTTGTCAGAGCGTTCCTTTAACTTCCACACTTTCTCTTAGCCCAAATCAAGTCTTTTAGCACAAACCCAATATACCATATTTATTTGTTGTATGCCATTCTCCCTTCACAGGAATGTGCACCTTTTTTTGTAGTTGTTTTGTTTTGTTTTTTAGAGATAGGGTTTCTCTGTATAACAGCCCTGGCTGCCCTGGAACTCTCTCGTAGACCAGGCTGGCCTTGGACTCATGTCTCTGGAGCTCTGGGATTAAAGGCGTGTGACACCACTGCCTGGAGAAAGTGCACTTGTTAAAAACAGGAGCTCTGGGGCTGGAGAGATGGCTCAGAGGTTAAGAGAATTGGCTGGTCTTCCGGATGGTCCTGATTTGATTCCCATCCCAGCAACCACACAGTGGCTCACAACCATCTATAATGAGATCTGGTGCCCTTTTCTGGCATACAGGTCTACATGCAGACAGAACATTGTATACATAGTAAATAAATAAAACTAAAAAAAACCCCCAAAACAAAGCAGGAACTCTGTTTGTTTTGTCTACTGCTCTTTTCAGTTGACAGCACTTGAACAGTGTTCGGTTTGCACAGGACCTTCAGCAGCATTTGCTGGCTGTTTTACAGAGCCAGTACAGTGTTGCATGCCCGTAATCCTAGCATTCAGAAAGTGAAGGCAGGGGAATTATGAATTCAAGGCCAGTGTAGGTAACGTAGGGAGATACTATTTCAAAAAAGCAAAACAAAAGAAACTGAAATGACATCAAGCCAAAGGTAGAAATGCAGAGGTTCTAGCATGTGCATAATAGTAAAATCCTTAAGAGCCCAGATTCTGGGACCAGATACCTTTGGTTGCTGTTGCTCATTGTCCCCTCGGAGCCGGTCAGCTCTGGCGCTATGTACCCAGTTTCACCCGTCTAGGTTGAGGAGGTGATGTTCCCTTCCCTGTAGTGTTCTCATGTGGATTACCTGGGTCATCAGTGAGGCCTTCTGGATGGTACCCAGTACATAGGTAGTGCCATTCATGCTTGCTTCTGCTGTGGGTCCTTTTTGCTCCTTCCTTCCTTCCTTCCTTCCTTCCTTCCTTCCTTCCTTCCTTCC